GTCTCTGCAAATGTCTTTTTTGATATTTACTAACAAAAAAAACTCACTTAAAGTGAGTTTATGTGGGCATTTCTAGTGGGCTGAAGCAGCTGCATATTGAAGAGATCAGCCTTTTACTCAGATATCATCTCAGTGATACTTAAGATGTGCACATGGATGAATTTTTGCTTGTTAAGAAATGTGTCCCAAAACCATCTTAGGGCTCATACATCTTTAAAGCAGCACTGAAGATGCTATAAACTATGGCCATCTGGAAAAACCTAAAAAAATGCTTTGGGCTCTAGAGGTAAACAGAAAGTGGTATCACTCTTACTACTGTATTCACTGTATTTTGTTAGGAATTAGCTTTCTTTCTTCTTATTCTTTCTTTCTTCCTTTCTTTTCTTCTTTCTTCTTTCTTTTCTTTCTTTTCTTTTCTTTGCTTTCAGTTCTTATTCTTTCTTATTTCTTTCTTTCTTCTTTCTTTCTCTTTCTTTCTTCTTTCTTTTCTTCTTCTTTTCCTTTTACTCTTTTGTTCTCTTTCTTTCTCGTCTTTTCTTTCTTCTTTCTCCTTTCTCTTTCTTTCCTAATTATCTGAAGATGGCATTTTAATGTCCCACTTTCATTCCTAGGTTGCAAAGAAGCTGTGTGAATGTCTGTTCTAGGAAGTTTCACAAATTTTTGTTATGCTTTCAACATTAAGAGCCAAATTTTAGAAGTGATCATGACAAAAGGGAGAGGGAAGGAGGTGTTTCTGGAGTAGCTCCTCATAGCATAAAGCATTGTGCCATCTGAAAATACACTAATTTTTGCTGAAGTTTGACCAAGATCAAAGGTTTAAAGAGTTCTCAGATATATTTGTGAAAGTGATGAAGTAAAAACCAGAGTTTTATAGGGAAGAGAAAATTCAACAGATCACTGCCTTGATCCTTGGCTCTTGGTGGGATTTGCCAGTGCATTCTAAAATGGTGTTTCCCATGAATCGTCCTGCTCAGCCAAACTGCTGGGCCATTGTCTGTATTTTAAGAAACTTAATTTCTTTCATTAAACCTTTTGACTATAAAATGAAGTGGATTTATAAAGTACTCATTACTCTTTATTTTGGGCTGAATACCTTGTGTAACATCCTTCTTTATATGGTATTGTAACAGCCTTGGGTAAGATTGTAAGGCAGCACTCCTAGTGAGCCCCTCATAAAGATGCGATGTTCATCTCATCTGGCAGTTGCTGAGAACAAAAAATGATAGATAAATTATTTTTAATGGTACCTGTAAATGTTACTTGCTAACAATAGAACCACAATCCCTCTCTTTTGCCTTCCTTCTGTGCTTGCTCTGTAACATCCTTGGTAATAACCTTGGGCTGGAACAGACCAATGCAATTGTGATAATGTCAGCAGAATTGATTGTTGCATTTGCTGTTCTTTTCATGAAATAATACGCTTTGTTTATTTGAGCTGCATATTGGGACTGAATATTTGTTGAATATCTTCAGACTTTCTAGAGAGACCTTCCCCACCTGAAACAGCCATAAAAGAACAACTATTAAATTTAATTTCTGCTGAAAGAGTAAGTTACTTTTTACTTTACTATACTGGTAAAATGGACACTAAACATCTGATGAAAGATCACAGTTGGATATGAAAGAAGCTTTTGTTAATCACTTGACTTTCAAAAATCTGATGTATTCTACATTTGTGGATAGAGACATTGATTTTATATATATATACATCTATATATCTGCTGGGCTGTCAGATGTTAAATTTCTATGTATTGCAGAAATGTGGCTTTCCATTGTTCCTATATGAGTGCATAGCAATAAAATAAAAGCCGACTGAGACTTTTAATGAAGGGTTAGGTGCCAGGTGTCACAGAAAGAACATAAAACACAGCGACAATAAAATTAGAAGTTAACCCAGCTGCTGCAGAACACATTCTGCTTTCCCGACATTGATGGGTGTCAAAGAATGCAGAATTGAAATACTAATACTACTCCTGCACCAAGATTAGTTGACCTCCTCCAAGGTATTGCAAAACCATGCCACCATACTAATTGTAGGTGATGTAGTGATTTAAGACCACCTCAGTTAAGAATCAGGGCTAGTATCACAGCACCTAACAGGATGTCTTAGTATTTAGTATAAATGAGCTCCTTTGTCAGGTAAGAAAAGAGTGACTGAGGTGATCACCTATAAAAATTGCCCTGGACAGATGGCTGTGTGATCCATGAAGATATTTCAGGCAGAGTAGTGAAGATGAAAATGAATATGAGGCTGATTAATATAAATAGAGAGACAGGGCAGTGAAGAGGATACATGAATAAAAAACAAACAAAAAACAACAAAAAACACAGACTTCATCACTGCACCAAAAACAATATGCTCTTTACCAATGAAAATGCAATAACTATTAATTCACTTTCAGATATATACTCAACTAAAAACTTAATTAAAAACTATGTTATTCTGTAACCTTTCCCAGCTGGCAACAATGGAAAAATCAACAACAAATACAAGATCTGACTGAAGAAAAGGCAAAATTTGAAAGAGAGCCTTCACACATAATAGTCAAGGAAGTTTTGATAAATGATGGAAGAATATTGACAGGTGCTGGCAGGAGAGAAACAAAACAAAACAAAACAAAACAACAACAACAACTGAAAATATTATGGATTTTTTGAGTTACATTACAAAAAAAATTTACAACAAAATATGTTATAAAGAGAAATTTTCAAAAAGATTCTAATTGTCATCTATGGAGATGTTCATATGAGATATAGAAAGCTTGGAAAAAATCTATTTTTTGAGAAAATTTAAGATGACATAGAAGAAGAAAGTGTGTATCTTTAAGAAAGTTTGTCTTTAGCTAAAGAAAAGTAAATTGGAATGTATTTTTCTGAAATATTCTTTGCAAAAACTGTTGTTTGGATTCAGAAATATATTAATTTCCCTGTGAAAGAAAAGAAAGAATGAATAAGATTTTCTTTTACTCCACAAAAGCTCAATATTCAAAGGTCATTTGACAATATATCTTATAGCAATTAATGTGAAATGAGATCCATCAGTGATCCTTCACTGATGTGTCTGTTACATCAAATCAATCAGGTTTTATTTTTTTCAGATGCTGTTTTGCATGCTTGTAGAAAAACAAAAACAAAGGTTCATCTCAGGTGGTATGAAAGGTCTTAAAACAATCAGGAAAGATGCACAACTATTAGTGGTAATGATTTAACAAACCAGACACTCATTTCTACCAATAACATATTGTTCTTTTGCACATGGAGAGCCCAGATTTTCAAATTCTACTGTTAAATGGCTCTGTTCCTGAGTGTAAAGCAGATAAGGACTCCGTTTTTCACTGGATATAAAAATAAATAAATAAATAGAACTCATGAAAACTGTCACAGCTATTTCCACTGTAGGTGGAATTTCTGTGACCTGCTGAGAGAGAAGCAGTGCAACCCAAGCTGTATGGTTAAATGAACATTGATATATTTAGACTTCACCATTCCGTACAACTCAAAAGCCATTCAAGCCACTATACTTGTTTTCACTCAAGTCAGTTAAACTTAAGAACTTAAGTACATACTGAAGTGTTTTGTTAACTCAAGGACCAAATGGACTCTTTTTTTTTTTTTTTTTTCCGTAAACTGAGCAATTACATCCCATTTTCGCAGCAACATGAAAAGCTGTGTTTATGAAAAAAAGGATCAATGATTAGAAGAAAAGCATCCTTTTTATTGATTTGAGATTACTGTCAGCTGTTAAAATAGAGAAACTAAAAAACTGTGAAACATTAAAGACTTGGAATTGCCAAGCTGGAGAAAAATGCCTGCTGTAATTCAGTGTTGACAGGGTTACTGCTATGACCAGGGGTGAGTGGGCAGACAGGCATGCAGTTACAATTTGTTTTAATGTAAAAAGTAAGTTACACAGAGAGCTTGCCGTATGACAGTGAAGTGTACCTATGGCAGTCCTTCCCAGATAGTTGATCTTTTATTATTTTTTTCTTTGATTTGACTTACTGACAAATAAATTCTCCAACAAATATTTATGCCTAAACACTAGCAGTTTTGACCTTTATATATGTTCAAAATTGCTATGAAACTGTTTTAAACTTGCGTATTTATTTTCTACATGCAAGATAGGTAGAAAGTATGTATTTGATTTTTGGTTTCCTTTTGTTGATGTAACGATATTTGGTTTCTCATTTTCTGATTATTTTTATTAACAGTATTTTTAATAATGTAACTCGCAGTATGAAAGTGTTTCTTGCTGGGAAGATACATTTCATCCCACAAAATTCTAGACAGTGTATTTCACGATGTCAGATTTTAATGATGTAAAGATGAGTTGTTTTATTGTAAAAAAATTGATTTTAGTTCTCTTTGTTGCCCCATTCCCTAGTCAACATAATCAGAACCACTCTTTTTTAAGAGCAACTCTGTCAGAAAGAGAGGTTTTGTTGATGGTTAAAAAAAAAAAAAGGTGGAATGTGTGAAATACATTACAGATTATTTATCACGTGTTATTTTACACCTTCATTGGATCAGCTAGACAACAGTAAATTATACCGTCTTAATTTCATTAATTTATATATGTTTATCACTGTTTCAAATGTAAAGACCACCAGGTGGATAGTAGCACATCCATCTCACAGGACTTTCTCAAGACACACAAGATTAACACAGGCTTCATAAATCCCTAAATCCAGACAACCAGTTATATAATCCTTTTCATAAACAGATCAAAAAGTCTCTTTACTCCTTTACAGTAATACTTTTTTAATTTCACTAAATGGTAAGCCTGTGACAGAGTCTTTCTGCTTTGATAGTTAGGTGTTTTTCTTTTTACTGATTTCCAGATTAAAAACACTAAGAAAAATAATATCAATTTTTTGATTTATTTTTTAGGTTAACTATTTGTTGTTGTTGTTGTTTGTTTGTTTTGTTTTGTTTTGTTTTTAATGTTAATGTCAGCTGTTTCTACAAGCAATGATCTTATCCTCTGATATATTCCTATATTCCTAAACTGGGTGGCCCTTCCATCTTCCATCTTCGTATGAGCTCGTCATTCCTCGGATCATTCTCATATCTCTTTTCTGTCCAATTTCCCATGTAAGCTCACCTTTACAGACAGCCTGTGTTGTAGGGGACAAGATATATCACCTGTACTTCTCTGACACTTTATCACCTGATGGGTGACACTTTCATGGCTGATGAAGTTGGAGTCATCCTATAATCCACTAATACTGCAGACCTTCCTCAAGCTAGTGTTCCCAGCTCTTTATCGCTATTTGTCATTTCCAACTGATAAAGTCTCATTTTACACCTGAAGCATGTACTGTTGGTGACCGTGTGCTTGAACTTGTACTTTTTTTTCCACAGTTCTATGAACTCATTCCTCAAGACTGCGCCTTGATATAAAAAATATACGGTAAGTTTAATACAGTGATTATTATCAGTATTAATGATGCCTCCCACCTTTCCATCATCAGCAAAACTCAGATGTACTCTTATTTTTGTGCTGATGAGGTAAATACAGACTAATGAAAGCCACATTATAACTAGATCATAATGAAAACAGTCCTTGGCAAACTCAGTTTCAACCTTTTCTCTCTTTGGATACTTTCCCTTTGATACCTCACCTTTTGCTATTTGTATTTCTTTTATTTTTCAACTAAATCCCATATTCTCCAGCATAGTTTAAAAAATAAAAAATAAATCATCACATAGGAACACATCAAATGCTTCATGAAATTCAGATGTAAACAGATTTCAGTTCATTTAACTGTATCATCCAGTCCTGTTGCCTTTTCTGCTATCTGCCATTTACCTTCATGTTTTTAATTGATCTTTCAGACTCATGGATCAAAGTCAGGCTAATAGACCAAGGTCAGACCACTTCCCTCAATCATCCCTCTTAAATACAGGTACTGTGTTTGCTGCTGTTGACTCTTACAGCATCATTCACATTGTAGCACAATTATTATAGTATTACAATAGCAGACCTATGTTCCCCTCAGTCTCCCAGTCCTGACAAAGGACTGAAATAGGAATGTTGTTCTCAGTCTGCAGATGGCTTGCTGTTCCATGTTCCTCTTTTCATGTTTACAGTTCATCTGCTTTTTGATAAACAGTGATTAAAGTCTCAGTGTAAACAGGATTTCAGTACAAACCTTCAGCAGTTCTGTACAAACCTGAGGGAAAATCCCCTGAATTCAGTCGTATGACTCAGGTGTCTAAAGTTTAATAGAGCTTAAGTGTTTTTCTGGACTGAGGCCTAAAGAACCCACAAGTCATCTTTCTACATCCTCACTATCAATACCTCTCTCTCTGCCTTGGGAATGTCTCACAAGTGCTCATACACACATGAGCACTGCATGAGTTTGGGTATTTCTTTTACCTCCAGGTCTTCAGCTTCCCTATGCAGCCTATGGATGGATGCAGCAACATCCTGAACCTACATGTATGTAGTGACACCAGGAGAGAAAATAAGATTGTGTTCAGAGTCAGGCCTTCAACAGTGGAAAGTTCTGTGTAAATTAGATCTTAGAGAAGTATTTTTTTGCTGCATCATGCTAATACATGACTAATAGCTATACTAGCAAGGTAGAAAGTAAGTGATGAAGACTGTGTGTTCTGTGGATTGGCTCCAGAAGGAATTTAAACATATGCACAACAGACTGTGTTTAAGGCATTCTGAGTACACCAAAAGATATATTTTATTACAGGCCTGGTTAATATGAAAGGAAAATGGCCATAATTTTGACATGGTAAAATAAGAAAAACATTTTTACAGAACTATTCATTCATCTGAAGATTCACTACTTCCTTTATGCATTCACTGGAAGACATTTCACTGTTTCCTTTGTGATTTATTTCTTTGAATCTTGTCTGATTAAACACTGTAAGATTTATTTCTTCAATATTATATTCCTCATGGAATTTTAATTGTAGAACAGTGGAAAAAGAGCTGGAGCAGAATAAAAACATATTGATTTAATTCAATTTTTATATCAATTTCAAGTTATTTTACCTTTGGGGGTAAGTGTGTTTGGGGATGATGAGGGGAATACAAGCTATAAATTCTGCTTGATTGATCAGTAGTAAAAATAAATGATCTCATTTAAAAATTTACAATTAAGCAATGAAATATTGAATGGTCATATTAGTTTGACAATAGGTGCCATGGGGCACATATAAAAGGGAGTAATGACAGAGTAGAAAAAAACTAATTTTAGTCAAAGAACATTCTCCATTACCTCTAGAAAATATGGCTCTTTTTTTTGGCATACTTTTGGGTTCATCTTCCTGCAAATGGAATTTGAAATCGCTACATATTACACAGAAAGGTCTTTTCTAAGAGTATTCTTATACGAAGTTGAAGAAATCAGAGTGTTTGCCCATCTTGTGGTATTTACAATAATAATTTTTCATACAAAGTATTTCTTAATGGTTCAATTTGAATCTGTCATGAAACCCTTCCATACTGGAGTAGTTGCTGCTTTAATATGTAGTATATTGTCCTGGGCAAATCATTAAAGCAAAACATTTTGGAATGACTTGCAGAGATCTGAAAATCTCATGACCTCTTGCCTTCCTTCCACTTCAGAGCATTTATTTCTGGGTGGGTGAAATTTATTATAAATAATTCTTGGTATTCATATTATTGAAGCATTTAGAGTCCTTAGGCATGGCTAGGACCAAGGGCTGCTTAGTGTTATACAGTGTAGATTAAAAAGTTGGAGTGCAACAAAAAACGTGCTGTATTATTGATCAGCTTTGCCAGCTATACTACCCATGCAGCTCACACACTTTTTATTTGGCTTCTCAGCAAAGGAGAGCTTCAAAGAGAAACCCAATGGATGTTTGCTCCTGTTACCTGAGCTGTGATGCTAAAGATGTCAGGAAGTTGCTTCATGGCAATTGCAGTGACCTTCTCATTGGAAGCTGATGTTGGGGAAAGCATCCTTCCTGAGGCAGGTATGATGAGTAAAAGGAAGAAAACTTGTGAAGTCTTTGAAAGTGAGACTTTTCTCTGAAGTAACTAGGAATTAGGAGCTAGCAGGATCATGCTTTGAGAGAAGTGGCGTACCAAAACTGGATGATAGGAAAGATGGTAGGAAAGCCATCTGTCCAGGAGGCTAATGGAGAAAAAGTGTGCTAGAGGAGGCCAGGGAATATTGCCTTAACAAGCAAGACACATAACTGCAATTCTAGACAAGAATATTCATCTCTATTGAGAACAAATATGTACAAATGGCAGAACAACTGAAATCTCCATCTCCCTAAAGAAAGTGTTCCATTTGTTGGAAAGGGTGTTTGTGTTTGAATACACAGCCAGTGCTTAAAGTTGGTGTGAGCAAGACAAACTTTCACAGGTCTCATATAGTGTCTGAGTCAGGCTAGTATGTTCACTCTCTCATTTTGATCTGACATAAAGTCCTGAACCCAGGAAAATATATGGCATAATTTTTCATATCTATCTATCACTCTCTCTCTCATCTCTATGTATATCCATATGTATTTATATGTAATCTATATCTATATACGTTTTAACATGAGAGAATAGCTGCATTTCACAATTTTGTTTTGCTCTTTTGTGTCTGGATTTGGTTTCTTAAACTCTCCCACCTGCTAAATGGAAATGAAAATATTTATATGGAGAGACTATGGGTGAGTCTGCTAAATAGTTTGAGAATAGTCAGTAACACAGATTTGATTTTCAGGTATGTTGAATAACTTTGTTTCCAAATAACATTGCAAGCACCAGAGAAAAGTCAATGCTAAACATGGAACTCTCTGTGTGTTGTTATTTTATTTATTTATTTATTTCCTAGGATGATAACTGTGGGAGAAAAACAGGTATTTTTAATTTCATAATTTCAATTTTCATCCCACATTTTTTAGTCATATTACAATTTCCAGACCCCTCATCTGAATTACAAACAGGAAAATCAAGGTGTAGCCTGCACCCTTAAGAGCAAAATGTGCTCCAGCACTTCAATCTTCAACTCTTGGAGCTTTATCACTGACTTCACAGGTATTGTGTTGCTATTCATAATCAATAAGCAAACATTTCATACAGTGTTGTCAGTGGATAATATAATTATAGTGTACATCATGCATTTAAATCAAAATAGACAAAGACTAATCTCTACTAGTATCTTAGGAGATTTTGCAGACATCAGGCAGGCTGAAAGATATCTGAACACTATTTCTAAGCAAAAGATGAAAGTGCTTCACAAGATATTGATCTGTACCTGAGCATGAATGATTAATGCGTTTTGGTTCAACTTCAGCTGGCTTTCTTTAGATAACAGCCAAGAAGTAGGCTATGATCTCATACCTATCGACAGGTAGACCAATAGATAGATAGATAGATTTATGTGTATATATAGATAGATAGATAGATAGATAGATAGATTTATGTGTATATATATATATATATATATATGTATATATATATATGTATATGTATACCTTTATCATATGTTTGAGTGGAAGACCTTGCATTATAAATAAAGCCTTGGCAAAAGCAAAAGTACAAAGCTGACAGATTTCTAGATTACTATATGATTCAGATATAGAATTACTATAATTATATAGATTACTATAAGATTCAGATTACTATATGATATAGTATTTATTAGTTTTTATTCTTAGTGTGATTCTCTTTCCATCCTTCTTTTTGACTGAGAATCACTTGATAGATACTATCATTTCTGTTGAAAATCTCTCAATGCTAGCTGAAATATATTATGGAAAGAATTCCAACTCCCCATCTCAATTTCCTTCTAATTTAAGTCAAAACAAATAAAAAGGTGAGGTTGAAATTGACTATGAAGTTAAAGTGGAGGAAAATTGAGACAAAATGATTAATTTTTGAAAAGTAACAAGGATTTGTGAGTTTTGAACTGAACTGAGTTTTGGAGACTTCATATTTATGGGGAGAAAGAAGAGTAAAATTATTGCATCTCAAACGTTGTCATTTAACATTGGTGTGTTAAGTAGTGTAAATTGCTACATTAATGATCTTTTCTGGCATTTCGAATGGGAATTTAGTATTTATTTCTTCATGGAGTTCTTCAAAGAACTCTCTTACTTGTGCTATCTTTTCTGACAAGTGAACAAGTATGCCAACAGGATAACTGCCTTCATTGTCATGCACAACAGATTGCTTTTAATGCATAGATTGTGTTTCCAGTCTAATACCTAGGAAAATAAGAATTGTTCTGAGAAGCTTTCAGAATAAGTTTGTCATCTTACAACCAACTCAAACTGCAGATTTTTTATATATATACATTTTTAATGGAATAAAACTTAGCAAGTCAATACAGTTATAGCTGCCCAGAAACTTTGCACGTAAAACTGACTTCACACAGGTCCTGGGAAAACATTATGTCAAAATGATGATATAATACCTAATTTTATTATAAATATGCAATCTGAATAATTTGAATTGTTAGTGAGAAACATTATTTACCTGTAATATTTTGGATGAAGCTGCTGCTTTTGCTGAATGCTTGTTGAATACACTGTAAACCAATAATGAAAAGTAATCTTCAGAAGTAAATATGGAAATTATATTGTCTGAGGAAAACCTGTCACACTCAGTAGTGATAACCAACTCAGTTAAGGGGAATTCAAATGGAGAAAAAGCTAGTTTAGTTTTCTTGTTTTCAAACAAGAAGATAGACAAAGATGACAATTTTCTTAGTTTAGCAAGGCCCAAGAGCTCCCCTGTTACTGAGGTCTGCAGTACGTCTAGGATGCTGCAGACTAAATTCTGCCTATATAGGTAAATTTATAAGGCAAGTTACCAGGGACACTTGGTCATCCCATAGGCTTGTGGCTGGATTATTTTTCTGTTGCAATCTGTCTCTGCCTGTTCTCCCAGCTGGCCTGCCCCAAACCAGCTGCATTTTAGCAATCTTTAGCTCTGTCTGAAACCCACCCCTTCCCCAGGGGTGGCTCAGGGGTAGCTCACAGGTGCCCCTCCATGCCCCAGATCACAGGAATTCGGTGCTGCATTTTGCTATTCCCCCAGCAGCACCTACCTGTTGGCCTGCCATGCTGACCCCCTGCCACCTAGGCCTCTGCTTCCTGTAGAGACATCGCTTTGATATTCTCCCTGTTCTTTGGAAACCCTCTCAGTTTGGCCTCATGTCAGAAGAAATTGTGTAGACTGGATGTGAAAATGTCCAGGACAATTGCATGGCTCACAATGTAAAGATGAAAGCAGCCTGATCTTTCTGGTGCATCCCTGCTTTGATCTACAACACACGGACAACTGAACCCCTTCCTAGCAAAATGTTTCAGGCTCCTGGCAGGCTGTGAGTCTTTGGGACAGAGAGATGAAACGTTAAGCTTCTTCGTGGTAATATCCTTCATTTTCACTGTACCCACACTCTCAAATGGGAATTAAACACTTTTTTTTTTTTTTTCATGATCGTGTATCATGCACCTTGGAATAAGCCTGGTGTGAAGAAAGGCTGCTGAGAGCTCAATGGCAATATTACAAATAAGCCTGCAAATGCATCCTGTTTAAAATGGATTTTTAATCAGAGGTGTTTGAGTTTCTCAAGAAAATGAAATTAAACTCATTTCCCACCACCACTGATCAGTTTAGGAACAAAACAAGCCATGAATTAAACATATTTTAACTCCGGGCTTTTTGTCAGATCAGTTAAACTTGCCTCTCCTCTATCTATCTATTGATCTATCAATCATCTACGTATCGATTCATTGATCTATCCTTTTGCTTGTTACATGAAAGGTGAGTATTTCTAGGACATTCTTGTGCAAATGCACACTCTAATTCTAGTTCTATTTTTTCAAGAATGTGCTTTCTTCTAGAAACACTTACATGGAGAAAAACCCAGACAGAAGTGATGTGCAAAGTAAATAGTCATTTCAGAAATGGCTGTCTGTTGTCTTTTTCAGGATCCTCAAGTTGGAAATGTAAATCTGCTGGAATTATATTATTGCATAGCTCAGAAATTAAT